AAAGGTTAAAAAAACTCATCCAATTTTATGTCTTACAGGGCTTATACTGAGGTCCATAATACATAACTATATTAATTCAACTGTGAACCTAGAAAATTGCACCCACTTGTGAAAGAGATGCACTGTCGCTCTGGAGGGTGTTACTTAATATGTTGAAGCTGTAGTGAAAAGCTTCATGTAGTTATTAAAAATTTAAAAAGTATAATGATTAAAAAAATAATTTTTCAAAGCATAAAAATTTGCTTCTTAATAATTAGTAGATGTGAAAAACATTATCACTGAAATCTACCTGATGACTTTATATCCATGGTCAGATGCCAAGGAGCTCAGAAAGTAACTGACTGTGACTAGTAATAATTTGATATATAGAGATTAGAAATGCATGTGCAAACATCTTAATGTCAATTGCATTAAAAATGGATTTTTCTGCATAAAATTCTGTATTTTAATAATGAATGGAGACCTTTTTTAAAGGTTAAAACCGCATTTAATTTTGTATCTTATAGGGTTTATACGGAGCACAATATTGTATAACTGTAATAATTCAACTGTAAACCTAAAAATGTACAGCCAATTTTGTAAGAGTTGCAGCCTAGCTCAGAAAATTGTTATTGACTATGTCAATGCTGATGTAGTGAAATGCTTCTTCTAAGTATGTGGTTATTAAATAAATAATTTAAAAAAATAAATAAATCCAAAAAAAATACATATATACACTTGACTGTGGTGGCGTACACCTTTAATCCCAGCATTCAGTTGGTAGAGGCAGTTAGATCTCTGTGATATTGAGGCCAGCCTGGTCTACGTGGTGAAGTTTCAGGCCTGCTGGGGCTATAGGGAGATTCTGCCTCAAAAATGCCCCCCCACCCCAAAAAAAGAAGAAAGAAAATCGTATTCTTAATTTCCAGATATTTCACAGAACATTTCCCTTGAGGATAAGTCACTATTTAATTCAAATTCAATGAAAGACTTTAGCATTATTCTAGAGTATAGGGATATTCATGCATATATGCCATAGCAAGCTTACAGATTTTAGTATATATATTTTTTTGAGACAGGGTGTCCCTATAATCCCAGCAGGCCTGGAACTCCCTATATAGACCAGGATGGCTATGATCTCACAGAAATCTGCCTATGTCTATCTCCTGAATACTGGATTTAAAGGTGTTTCCACCATGTCCAGCATAGATCTTAGTATTTTTTGATACACTTCTTTCAACTTTTATGAATATTATCATCCTATTTTATTTATCAGTTTTTAAAGCTCTTTATTAGTATATACCATCTTAATCCAACTTTATTTAGAAAAATTCTCATTGACTTAAATCACTTCTAATTTAAACTCTGAAATGAATACCAAAACAGATTATTTATACAAGTAAACATTTTCAAATATCATAGATCTGAAATTGCACATTTCTTAATTTCCATGTTTATGCCAAACTAACCTTGGCTGTGCCCTCTTCGAAGTCCTTACAAATTCCAGCCTTAACACAATTCTGTCTATCACACAAGCTTTGGCATTTCCTTAGCTATTAATTTTATTCTTATAAGGAACAGGTAAAATAGACAGGAACGCTGCCAACTATACAAAAACAGAAGTGATGAGGTACTTAAAGTTACTTCAGGTATTTAAATACTCCCTACTGTCACAAGAAACGATTTTATTATGCTAGTAAGAAGCAACAAGAAAAGTAGTTTGTCATACTATGTCTCAGTGTAAGAGGACTTCACTAATGTTGCATCTGAGAGAACAGGTTTCCTGCAATCAGCACAGTCTCCTATTAATGGAAGTCTAAAGTAAAAATGATCATAATATTTATCATTCACGTTTGCCCTCTACACATAGAATGAAAGGATTTGTGAAGTGTCTAGAAGGTGGTAGAATGTTTTAAGAAATATGGAAGTTAAATGCTTAATAAAGAAAATATGTAAATCATAGTCTTGGAGCTCTGAATTCTATGTCTATTTTCTGAGCTGTTTGGGATGATGAATCATTCTGGCAGGTACTTCTTGTTGGAAGATGAGATCTTGCTACCTAGACACACACTCAGAATGCCAGGATTCAGGAGGTGAAGAAAGAGAATTGCTGTGATTTTGAAGCCAGCCAGGGCCACGGAGTGACACTGTCTCTATAGCAAAAGGAACGAAGAAACACTAGCGTAATATATTACCAGAAAAATTATATCTGTGTTTATGTGCATGTATTTATATATTACATATGTATGTGCTAGCTTGCTTTATGCAATTTTCTTATTATTCAGAATTAATTGCTATAATCTATAGGGTACTACACAGATAGGAATATCTCCCAGGACATGGGGATATGGACTTTATGCCCTTTGGCTCTCTTCCTTTACTCAGATCTGAATACAATGTGACTGTGTTGACTGTAAGTAAGGGATAAGTTGTCACATTTGTTGCAAAAGCGAATTTTGCATCTCTGTGAAATCATCTCATTTTGAGAGAGTGTTTGAAGTTTGCTCTTATTCTATGATTTAAGGGCAGTAGTTTTCTGGAATCCACACATTGTAGTGCCTCTGCTGTTATTACAGTACTATGATTACAGTTTAATAAGCTGGGATACACCTCCAGGAATGCCACGTGGTAATTTTTATGACAGCACTGATAGGAGGTAGGAGTAATCCTAGGGACTCACATGGCTTAGAAATGCAGCAAATGTTTTGGTGGTTCACATTATCGGTGGTTCAGTGCATTCACATGCCATGTATTTAAAAATACTTAAAATCAAATTAACACCCAGCTATTCGAATTTTCATCTTCCAAACAAACAAGAGACAGAGAATTCTTTACTTTGGGGCCCTGGAACTTCATCTCACACACTTCAAGATCCTAAAGTGAAATCTCTTTCTTTTTCTGGGCAATAAAATCTCTTTTCTATCTGACAGAATGTATCTGGATCTAACCCCATAAACAAAAATTCTATGCAAGAAATTTGCTTCCTAAAACCTTCAGTCTCCCCTTTTTCAAAGTGAGAACAATAGTATGAACATTATGAAACTGTCTTTAGACTGCATGAGTTCAATTATTCAAAGCTATTAACAATGAGCAGTAAAATGACTGGCCATTCACCATAATTTATAAGGCAAATGACATCCAGCCACCTGCTCACTGTTGGATAGGTCCAGGCTGGTTCTTCCTTTTATGTTCAGCCTATTATGATGTTTTATATACACAGAGTAGTATTATCTATGTGGCCCTGTTTGAATTTTTAAGGAGGTGACAATACCATCTGTTATTTAAGACTACCTTTTTTTACTCTACATGTGCCTCTTGGATGGTAGTTCTTTAAAGCTCTATTAGACAGACTCAGGAGAAAGTACCTCTCACCTCCAACCCATGCAAACATCTGCTTGCAGCATTCAGAAAGCTGATACCCCGAAAACACTGGACAATCCAGCAATTATATGAAGAATGAAGAAGCTAGCAGTGGAGTCAGATGGTGCCACAGCTTCTTCTGTGTTGGGCATGCAGAGCTCTGGGCTTTTTCTTTTCTTTTCTTTTTTTCAGGTGTCTGGGAGTGGCTGCACAGAGAAATGAACTGTGTGGGATGAGGTAAATAACCAGCTTTGCCTTTGTACCTTGATTTAGACTGCTTATGTGCAAAGTGTGTCAAACATTTGGACACTACAGATATTTTATTTGCCATATTTTCTCACCCTAGCAGCCATTTATTCTTTGGAAATTTATAAAGTTTTTATTTGCTTTTAATTTGGAAAATGAAACGCACTGTAGGGAAAAAAGATGAACTTCCTTATCTTCTAGCTATCTTGGAGCTTTGTAAATGATGTGGCTCTGTGTCTCTTCACCTTCAGGTAATGTAGAAAGTCTTGTAACCAAACCATTATTTGATATTTTCCCCACATTTTTATTTCAATATTTGTCTTTGTTCACCTAGGAAATATTTATTTCAAACCCTCAAAAACTATGCGAATATTATTTCCATAACTCTTTTATAGTCTGTAACTGAAAACATATACAAACTGAATCCACCAAGTTAAGGTTGTGGTAAATCATATGCTTTGCTGCCACAAATGAGTGTTAAAAATATACCACTGGTCTGCGGGATACCTCCAGGGATAAAAGTGCCTGACCACAGTTCAATCCCCAATACCCACATAATGGAGGAAAGAACTGACTCCCACTGTTGTTCTTTGACCTCCACACAGGCATCATGCACACCTACACACCTACACCTGCACACACCTACCCGCACACACACATGCACACACACACACATACACAATATAGATGTAATAAAATTTGTGAATAATATGCCATGTTTTCTTAAGAAAATATATATAGATGGTCCATTTTCTTTTCTAATGGATTATGTTCAAAGAACCACTAATTTTAAGACACGTTTTCAAAGTTCATTATAGCTAAAGCTACACAGAGATTCAAGCTATGAATACAGCTTATAAAGACTATGGACTCAAATCCTAGCCCCCAAATTCCAGGGTGCTACTGTATTCTTTTACTAAGGCACCCATAAGAACATGCCATAGACTACAGACTGGGCACCCTAACATTACAAGGTTGTTACGTTTTACTTACAGAGAACAGAGCTCGGAGTCTAAGGTGTCCGTAGGGCTGGTATCTTCTGAGACTCTACATGGCACATAATGTCCTCACACAATCTTCTCTTCTCTGCACATCTGTGTCCTAATAGCCTCTTATAAGGTATCAGTTTTCAGCATTAATTTACTCTTTCCCAATTTCAAACATGTATATAATACGTTCACTCATCCTTCCACTATCTCTTATCTTCCTCCCACCCCTTACACACACCCCTTCCTTCTACCAAGTCTCCTTCTAATGTCATGTATTTTGTTTTGATGTTTGCTTTGTGACCCACTGGGTTTAACGAGGACTACTCACATGGCATGTGGGTAGAACTATCCAATATAGCATGAGTAACTCATCAGTGGCTAGTCACTGAAGAGAAGGACTTCCTCTCCCCCATCAACCCCTGACATCATTAGCTCCCCGGGGCAGGAGGCCCTAACTTTCTCCCAATCTGTGACTGTTTTTGGCCCACTCTTGTGCAGGTCCTGTGCAGGCACCACCAGCTGTTGTGAGTTCATGAATGCTACATCATGATATGCCCATAAGAGTTCTGAATTTCCCACCTCCCCATCACTTAGCTCTTACAATCTTCTCACCCCCTTGTCCATGAGGTTTTCTACACATTTCAGGGAGTGTGAAAGACACCAATTTTAGTGAATTTGAGTCTACTCTTATAAACTAGTTTTTAAATTGATTACCTTTGTAGAAATTCAATATTCTAATACAGGCTTATTCTAAAGTACTGGATATTAGACTTTAACAAAATGACTGTAGAAGGAAAAAACTCAGCTCATAACAGCTGCAAATACATAAAACTAACACCAATAAATTGAGTACAGCATTTTGTGCATAGGCCTCTATATAAGTAAGAGGATTATTTTTTGTATATCTTTTATTGAATTTTTTGTAATTCATAAAAAAACTCTTAATTGTCTTTATACCCTCTCTCCCATCTGCAAGTGCCCATAGGCCCCACACTCCCAAACAGGATTTCAAGCATTCTGTCATTTGTGTTAAGACCTATCAGCCTATAGAGTCAAGTTAATGTACCCAGACACCCCTCAGTGCAAGTTATCTACTGAGTTCTAGTCAGCCTATCTAGTCACTCCCTTAAAGAAGATTAACTGTCCCTCACCCAGCAGTAATCAGCTAATGATACTTCTTTGGCTAATGTTGAGCCTTGCTGCCCATTTCCCCAGGTCCATGCTGGGTTTTAGTATGCATCAGTTTGCATGGGTCTTGAGCATGCTGAAACCATTTCTGTAGATTCATATGAGCAAGGCTGAGGAGCCTGAAAGACTCCCCATATGGTCATGCCCTTCCTCCACTAGCTCTTACAATCTTTCCACCTCATTTTCTGTAATGATCCTTGAGCCCTCAGTAAGTGAAGTTTGATATAGGGGTCTTTCACAGACACTTATTCTCTGTATGTGAATATTTGTGGAACTCTGTAATAGTCTCCATCTGCTACAAAAGAAGTTTCTTTGATGAATGGTTACTGGCATCCTTGTCTGTAAATATGATGATCCATATTTAGCATATAGTAAGAAATTACATTTGTCTAGGGCTGTGACAGCCTTAGGGTTTTCTCTAAGATCTATGACCTCTCCAGCAGTGCATATTGGCTATGTTTACAGTACCACACATGAGTTCCCTCCCATTGTGTAGGCTTTAGGACCAATTAGGCAGTTGTTGATTACCCCCAAGATAGAAGTTCCACTACTACCCCAATATAGACTGCTGTGGCAGTCATTGTTGTGGCCATTAGCCTTAAAGTTAGGGTTGGACCATCCATTGATTTTCTCCTTTAGCAGTTTGCATATTGGCCTCCAAAACTATGAGAGCTAGCCTTCAGGGAAGCTTCAAGGTCAGTTCCTGCTCCATTGCTCCAAGTCCTATGCCCAAAGTATGTCCTGTTCTCAGCAACTGGGTCTTAACTTCAAGTTCTGAGAGATAATAAAGGACTGTGGCAAAAGTCTGTGCAATTTGGGGAGTCTCTTGGACTACCCTGGCCAACAACTTGAAGGGAAGTTTCTCCTGTCTGGCACTGTTTCTTGTTTATATAGCCTTCAGCTATACACATGGACATGTATAGAGATACTGTTGTGTGTCATTCTTCAGTAGATTTTGTATAAATACGTTACCCTCTGGTTTTTCATATAAGCTAAGAATTATCTCTCCTCTCTGTCTCCCTGTCTAAATTGGCCTCCTCCCTCCTCAGTTAAAGTATCCACATTTTCCCCATTTCGCCCTTGATAATACCTGTGGTTTATCCCCCCTTGAGCTCCTTCTTCCCCTTTACCCACATGGTTCCTTGTATAACCCTCCTTTTCCCCCTCCCATTTAAATACCCCCATTTTATCCATTCTTAGCAGTATTTCCTGTGCACCAGTCACCTGACTTGGCCTAATGCCTTGATAATACCTGTGGTTTATCCCCCCTTGAGCTCCTTCTTCCCCTTTACCCACATGGTTCCTTGTATAACCCTCCTTTTCCCCCTCCCATTTAAATACCTCCATTTTACCCATTCTTAGCAGTATTTCCTGTGCACCAGTCACCTGACTTGGCCTAATCTCACCACAGTTCACCTCCCCACTTGGCTTGTGGTTCAGTCTGACTGAGAATCTGGGTCCCCTTTCCATATTTTCTTATCTTTCATCTTAATCTCACAAGGTTGAGCTAAAAAACAGCTTTCTGCCTCCTTAGCACCCTCTCACCTGATGTTTATCATGAACAACTTGACATCTACACATTGTGAGACCAGTATCCACTAAGATGTCTATAATTAGATAGAAAAGCATAAAATCTGAGGAAAGATGATGTGTGACTGTCACCCTGTGAAGCAGTGATGGTCTTTGTAGCCTGTATTTTGTCAGCTTCTTGCATTTTGAAACTTTATACTAGTTTCTGAATTTGTAGGACATGATTAGATAAAATATGGCAGCTGGACTCATCTTCTAACGCAAGTTGATGAAGAATGTGTTGACCAGCAAGGTGCTTCTTATCAATAGTTTTATTAACTCTCATTGTTCAAGCATATTATGACATCTAAATGTTCAATAATTGAGCTATTTTACTCTTAAAAGGCAGTATGATTTCTTAGGTTCTTTGCACTTATTATTCTATCTCATAAGAATATATCTCTTTAATAT